AGGCGGGGAACGGGGGATCCCCAGTGAGGGCGGTGGGTGACGGGGCGGTGTTGTGGGCTGGGTCCGCGGTTTGGGGACGGCCCCAAGTATTTGAGGCATCCCAGCCCCACCGCGCTCCTGCGGGCCGTGTGAGTCCCTGCAGCCGCGCAGGCCGGGGTCCTGCTGCTCTGTGCTCGGTATCGCGAGGCGGCTTAAGGGCAAGAGGGCCCCCGACGCGAACGCTGACTCTGGATCCAGAGCAAACGCAGGACGGAGGGAAAGGACAGGCGCTGTCACGCCTCACCTCGCAGCCCACCTGTGGGCTTGGGCAGGTGCGATGTCCTGCCTGTGTAGAGGTGAGGCCTGGAGAGGGTTATTTCAGAGCCACACGCATGCCATTGGAGCCCTCGTCACCAGCCTGGGTGTAGGAAGAGGTGTCCTACGCGGTGTGGCCTCCACTGTTGATGGAGTCATCTGGGCTGGGGGAGACTCGGGATGCTGGGCTCTGCTACCAGAGGCCCAGGGGCAGGTGGGGTATAGGTGGTGGGAAGAGGCGCCACCCTGGTAGATACGGCTGTGACTTTCCTTCCAAAGATTGCTGATTATGGGAACCAGCAGTTAGCGTAATGGCTATGTCGCTGGACTCCCACGTAGTCGACCGCGGTTTGCATCCCGGACCCAGTGGCTTAAAACTCACGGCGGGCACGTGTGCGTGCGTGCCCAAGATCCCGAGGGGAGAATGGAGAAGGGATTGAGGGGTGACCATTCCCCCCTGAGGGGTGATTTCTCCTTTCTGTCTCTAATGTCTCTCTGTCTGGCAAGCGCACGCACCCTGTAGCAAAAATCTCTCCAAAAAAAAAAAAGAGATTACTGGCTTTTTATAACTTCTGTGTGAATTTGCTTTCTGAATTCTGTAACTAGGGACTTTCTGCTTATTTCTGTATTTTGAAAAGTTTTACTTCAAAAACTTTTATGAGATTATGAGAAGGAAAAAAACAATAATAAAGGAAATACTAATGATTGTCGTGGTTTGGCAGTTCCGTGCCTTAGAAAAACAACACGAATGGACGGGTCATCATTTTCTAGGCTGTAGTGATTATGGAAGTTCTCCCCAGCATCCAGTTCCCTAAAAAGAGCTGAAATAACATTCTCTAGGTGGCCTTGGAGACGTCCACTACAGATATTTTATGATATTAAGAAACTGGGGAAAATACCTAATAGGGCATTGGATAAGGAAATGATACGTCTCTAGTCTCCACGGCCATTAAGAACCATGTCGTAGATGAAGATTAACAGGAGAAACGTAATGGTATGTACCTAAGAGGAAAGAAAAAGGCCACAGACAACATGTATTATATTATCCCTTTTTATGAAAAAAAGAAAAGATTACGTAGAAAAACAGTTCACTCAGGAGGCACTAAAAATAGTGAGAGTGTTTAGAGCTGGGGAAGATGATTAAGTCTTTAATTTTTGTATTTTTATATTTATATTTTCTGACCTTTGTTCATTGAGCATATATTTCTTTTATAATTTCTTTATATTTTATTGTTGTATATCTTTATAGCACATGGTATGGTTTTTCAGAGGCTACATACAGTGTGTGATAATCAAATCAAGGATTTATGTCATTTTCAACAAAGAACCTTACATTATGATAGGTACTTTCAATTCTTTTGACATGTATTTCTTTCGATTTTAAAAACATATTTTACAGACTATCTACATGTAATTCTGAAACTACTAGAAGTACAAATCTCATGAAAACAGCCCATGTCAGGTCATGTTTAACTTTTTTTTTTTTTTTTTTTTTGCCATAGGGTGTGCACACACTCCAGAGAGAGATAGTGAGAAGGAAAGTGAGAAATCATTCTCCAGGGGGTTGGCCAAGGCGCAATCCTTTCTCTTGCATTTTCCTCCTGGGATTTTGGGCATGCACATACATGTACGTGTACCTGGTGTGATTAAGCCACCAGATCTGGAGCTGAAACTGTGGTCAGCCATGGGGGAGTCTAGCACCCTAACCACCATGCCACCTGCTGGCCCCATATTTAACTTATTGATGAAGGCTCCAGCAAGCTAGCAGTGCCAGTTCAAAAGAGAACATACATTAGTAGGATTGTTGTAGTAGGTGGATAAAAGGAATGTTGAAATAAGATTGCTAGGCTAAATACAAAATTGGCGAATATCCTATCTGCGATGAAACCATAGCTGTTGCAATTATCTTCTCTTCTGAATGGAAAGGAAAATTATTGACTCTTATCAGTGTTCTACAGGTTAATCTACAATTTTGCAGATTGTAAAATGCCTCAGGCCCAATGGGGAGTAGATGGTGCGTTCAACTATTTTTCCTAGAAGGTCAAGTCATCTTCAGGGGGTTTGTGAAGCAATGATCTAACATAGAAAAGCAAAAACAGAACACACAATCATCTTCCCTCAGTTTGACTTCATTTCTATGTTTTGGATAAATCATTTTAACCAAATACAAAAATGCTGGTATTGTAGCAGTTTAGCCCCCAGAGAATAGGAGGAGCTCAAAGTCACATGACAGATAGTGCTGAAGGGGTTCTGGTGACCACTGAGTCTCAGTTCCTGGTCACACTGCAGTACTGGAACTACAAGTCATACTAATTTCTTTTTTTTTGGTCATAGGGCATGTACACTCACCAGAGAGAGACAAAAGTGGGAAAATAAGCAGTCATGCTCCAGCGAGGATGGCCACACCATAGTCCCTTCTCCTCCATTGTCCTCTCAGGATTTTGGTCATACAAATGCATGTGTTCAGTGTGGTTTTCAAGCTACCGGGTCCAGGTCTTGAACCGCATAGTCAGCCATGTGGGATCCAGCACCTTAACCACCATGCTGCCTGCTGGCCCTTTACATTCATATTTTTTAAAAATGCACAATCCAGTGCAATAGAGCAGCATAACCCATTGGATCTTAGAATAAGATGAGGTTTGGAGATGCTGTTTTTCCAAAGAAAATAATCTGCAGAGAGTCAAGACATGAGTTTCCAGCTATTGCCAAGATGACAGCCTCTCCAGGGTTTGCTTCTTTCCAGTTCCTCAACCGCTGAAATGAAGGGGGTGGATGGAAGGACCTGAGATTCTTCCAGGTTCAGAGAACATGCTGAGTCTGTGCTGTTCGGTCTCCAGTTTTACTCATGGAAGGAGCAGTGACTTTCAGCTGCGCGTTATTCTTTAGGCCTCCGGCGACATGAAGAGAGCAGGCACACAGTGGTAGGACAGTAGTGATGCCTGTGTCTCTTTTGCCCATTTAAGGTGAGAGTGATGTGGGTAGGTTAAGAAGCAGAATTAGAAGCAAAAAGAGAACTGGACCTTTGACACACTGCCTGCACACCTCTCAGAGCAAGGCCCCCCTTCTGTGGGTGCTTGCCTGGTGACTCGGTGAATTGTAGCTGTTCCCACAGTAACACTGTGAAAGGACAACAGGTCTCTGCAGGACTCCATGGAAGCTGACTGCCTGCTGAGGCTGGATACTGGCACCCTGCAACCTGGTGCCTGGCCTTCTACCTTCATGGCTCAGACAGTTGAAAAACTCAACTTGTGTGTCCAACCCTGTCTGGAGGGTGCTGATTGGTGCTAGCCAAAGTCAGAGTCTCACATAGACTGGGCCAGTACAGTGCCGGCTTGCCTGACTCTCCGTGCACACAACTATATAGAAACAGGAGGTTTTGAGCAAGGAATCAGAGCAAGGGGAACTGGTGATGGGATCTGAAGGGGTGAGAGTTCTGATTCTTATAATCTGTTCTTTCTGTATCTCTACTTGACACCTGCTCTGTGACAGCCAAGAAGTTTTGCCTGGTCAACTCTGGCTCACCTTCTGTTTCAGTAGCTGGCCTTATCCTGCCTGTAGATCTTTCTTTCCATATGGTGGTTTCTCCAAAAAGATACCTAAAAGACTTGAAGACCTGGAAGCCATTCTCTTGTCTGGTAAAGAGTAAACAAACTAGTTGAGTGTGCCTGGCACATGGTAGATACTTTCCCACATTTCTGTATTTATGGTTTTTTTTTTTTTTTGGCCATCGTCAGACACCGGAGCCCAATGTAATTAAGAAAGACACTTGTCTTCTGAGTGTCTACAGAGCAAGACCAAGATCAGAGCCCACCAAGCTGACCTGTTCTTGATTCTTTGGTCCTTGTGTCCTAAAGACCTTCCCATCCTGACCAAACCACAACCTTCCTGAAGCAGCACTTGGACTTGTCACCTCCACTGGGGCGATTCTGAGTCACTGCTTTAGGCAGAGCATTCAGAGTCAGGGGCCTCTTACTTCAAGGCAAAGGTCCCATGGGAGTGGGGTGGCTTGACCAAGAGCATACTGATGCAATCACAGCAAAATAGGAACCGTAACACAGATCTCATGACTGACTTGTGGAAAAGTACAAGAAGAAATATTAAGAGAAGTCCACACTTGATCAGTGTATGCTTCTGTGGGAGGTGATAACCTTTCGGTTGAGTTGCCACGTAGTGTCTGGTCATGAGATAACCCTTCTACCCAAATGGGTCCTCTAACCCTGACATCTGTCTCCCCTCTCAGCACTAGAGTGCTTGAAGTTGGTCTGTCCCTGTAAAGTGGACTGGGGTTGCAAGGTGACCGCAGACTGGACACCAGTACCAAGTGCTCTTGCTAGCCCCTTGATACCGTGTTAAACTTGCTCTCTGCACAGGTTAACTTTTAAGTGTGGTTGGAGATGTGTAAATACACTGGAGTTTTACTGTAATGCGGCCAGAGGTGTGGGCCCCGAGGCGTCGGTTGTGGACAGAGCAGCCTTTGTTGGCATCTGTGACAGTCATCAGGGAGTGCAATGTGTGCCCTGAAAACACACCAGGGGAAGAGTGAGATGGAATCGGTCAGAATTCTGGGGAGGAGTGTGAATGTGAATATGGTCTTCTCTCCCCTTGTTAGATTTGTGATAGCACAGAGCTGACCTGCATGAAAGCCAGAGCGTTAGTTGAAAAACAGAAAGGAAAACAAACACTTCAGCCATGTTGCCTTTGAGTATAGACCATTATCAAATCTAAGTGTTCAGTAGATATAAATGTTCTCTTTGTTGTGTGCGTTAGATCCCAGATGGAGGATCCACGGCAGTGAGCTAGACCTTTTGGTGACCTGGGGGTGCGTGGTTGTGGCTTCCATTTCACTGAATAGCACTCTGCGTTTTGCAGAATTACCATAGATGAACATCTCATCCTAGCGCACAGCTGTGGTCCTGCTGCCTCATAAGTCAGCCCACTGTGGGGACTTTCCCAGAGAACTGAGGGCTCTAGCCATGGGAGAGACTTGGTTGGTCTCTACACCTTCTCTTCGATGCACTGGGTATGAGTAACAAGGCCCCCCTCCCTGATTAAGTGCTATGTCCCTGGCAGGGGTGGGAGCTACAACTGATGGGACGAAGAAGGGGAGTGGGTGGGAATCTGAAGGCCAGGCCCTTGGTGCTGCTTTGTCCATAACTGCTTCCGCCATCCCCATTCTGCGCATCCTGTTCCTGCCATGTAAAGTGACAGGCTGGACTGGATACTATCAGATTCCGTCCAGTTTCGAGAATTGGAGACTCTGGTCTTCGCAGTCTTGCCAACATAACAAGATTTAGATTTGAACTAGATTTGAACACTTAGATTTGAATACTTGAGCATAATTTAGAATCCGCTCACATATCCAACAAATATTTCTCAAGTGCCTATTGTGTACCAGGCCTCATATCAGACAGTGGGGACGTAATAGTCGACAGGTAGGTGCCGCTGGTGCCTCAGAGGGTTCATTGCCATTGGAGTATGTTCTAGTTACTCTCATGGAGAAAACTCTTACATGGTGCATCTGGAGCTTGTAGCTTCTAGAAAAGGCCATCAGGAATCTCTCATCCAGGCTGGACGTGGGTCGCGTCTGGGAGGCACTTCTCTTAGGCTGTGAGTACTGTCTAGAGCCACATAGGTGGAAAGGCGCTCAGTGGATTGAACAGACGAGAGCCCCTCAGTTCTTTGTGGGATCTTTCCCAAGATGAACCTGACCATCTACATGCATGGCGCTCTTTTCAGATGAGATGTTGAGGACAAACAGATCAGAATGTTGACAAGTTAATACACTAGACCTGAGGACTTACTGTTTCCTCCACTGCTTACAAGGACATCTGCATGGCACTGAACACTCACTACTATGTGCCAGATGTCACCATAGCCCCGCAATAGCCAGTACTCCTCTGGTGCTCATGGTCCTGATTTTTAAATGAGTCGCCTGAGCTTTGGAGAAGCCAAAAGCAGTGTGCCAGTAAGCAGCAGCAGAGGGGTTTGGACCCAGGTGTGGCCAGCCCATGTCTGTGTTCTGTGGTTGAAATGCAGTCTATTCCTAAATATCTCTGCCACACAGACCTCTGAGCACCGAAGTGACGTTTCTGTCTCGGGTTCTAGAATTAAAATGCTTTAAGTATATCCCCGTGTAACTACTTCAGTGTGTTTTACCCTAGGGGATCTGTGCATTGTGTCACAGATCAGCAGACTGCCACGGAAGCTGGAGCCTTGTTTGTGGACTATCCACAGGTTGAAGCCAGGACCATGGTTCTTGTTAGCCGTGTTGCCGCCTTCGCCTCTCTCTCCATCCTGTTTCATTTTCTTGTATTCTCCCATCCTTTCAATAGAAGTTATCTTCCTATGTTAATTTATTGTTGTAAATATGTAAGTTTAAGGTACAGAATGAACATTTTTTAATGATAGTGTTTTTGTGTTACTGGGTTAGTGACGTGTCCTGGCTTAGTTGAAATAAAGGGGATTATCTTTTCTTCAGATTCAAGACAGATACATGAAGATCCCAGAAAGAGCTGCACTGACCTCGTTCCCTTGGACAAGCCGCAGCGTAGAGCCCCGAAGCCCCGTGTTGGCCCCAGGACTCCTTTGGCATACAGTTCAGGACAATGAATCCCACGGGTGATGGGGGCATGTCAGAGAGCATTTTTGACTTGGACTACGCCTCCTGGAATATCCGTTCCACTCTGATAGTCGCCGGCTTCTTCTTCTACCTGGGTGTCTTCATTGTGTGCCACCAGTTGTCATCTTCCCTGAATGCCACTTACCGTTCACTGGTAGCCAAAGAGAAGGTCTTCTGGGACCTGGCGGCCACGCGTGCCGTCTTTGGTGTTCAGAGCACGGCTGCGGGCCTCTGGGCTCTGCTGGGGGACCCCAAGCTCCATGCCGACAAGGCGCAGGGTCAGCAGAACTGGTGCTGGTTTCACATCGCTACGGCAACAGGATTCTTTTTCTTTGAAAATGTTGCAGTTCACCTATCCAACTGGTTCTTCTGGACATTCGACTGGTTTTTAGTCATCCACCATCTGTTTGCCTTCCTTGGATTTCTTGGCTCAGTGATCAATCTAAATGCTGGCCACTATCTAGCTATGACCACATTGCTCCTAGAAATGAGCACCCCGTTCACCTGCATTTCCTGGATGCTCTTGAAGGTAAGTGCTCCCTGGGCCATGGGCAGTGTGCAGATTCTGCCCCGGTCTGCAGAAGACGAATGTGTAAGGCTAGCAGGGTGCCTTACACATTTAACACATTCACTTACTGGCTACCCTTCACTGCGGACTGGGCCCGAACTCACCTGGGGCTGAAATTAGTCAGACATCCAGAAGGAAGCCTGGTTTGGCTTGAGGCCATTTTCCTAATTGTCAATCTTTTTGGCTTCTTGCTTCTTAAGAAAAAATGGCTCAGTGTTATCTTATGACTCAGTACATAGTGATTGTGAGCATTGGAAACTTTTTTTTTCTTTCTATGCTTAAAAAAATTTGAAGTAATAAATATGTGTACACACGTCGTTTTATTTTTGAATAAGGTGATTTTACTAATAATCAAAAGTGTTGGGACCCAGCATCGTTATTTGTCTAGAACTCATTTCCTCTTTGTTTTTAAAAGTTTATGTTTGTTTCAAGTTTTATTTATTTCATGAGTGAGAGATACAGAGAGGGAAGGACACAGAGAACACCCCTAATGGTGTCCCAGAACCGCAGCCCAGCTCCAGCCTAAGCCAGGCCTGGATTGTGGGCACATGTGTGCGCACGCGCACACACACGCACTCACAGATGTGTGCCTCACAGCCTTACCGTTTACTGCAGCGCCACTTCCGGCTTCTGAACATGTGTTTTTAAACCTGTGTTCCTTCCCTCTGTGATTCTGATCCTCACTCTGGTGTGAAACGGTCATGTGAAATTCTAGGTTTCTCTGCGTTATTTTTTAGCATAGATTCTTGTTATCTTTTATGGCACATTACAGTGTCCACAGGCTATTTTATAAAACTTAAACTGCCGATATTCAGCCACTTGCACAAATGGGTCCTATTTCTGAGTACTTTTTGTGTACAGAACACCATGGCAGGCATTAGGAGGAAAATAAAATATTTAGGCTTCAAGGTCTAGTTGGATAAGACCATCAAAAGTGAATTAATAGAAGCCGAGTGATGGCAGTGGTGAAATGTGACACTACACTTGAAAAGGTTTCAGACCTATGGCTGGAGACCCCGTGCATACACCAGGGCACGCATGTGCCCATGATCCCAGGCCTGCCGAGCCCTGACCAGGGGTGCTCACTCTCTTTCTCTCTCTGTCTTCCTTGCTCATGAAAGAAATAGATGAACTTTAAGGGTGAGTTAATAAGGCCCATCCTTGGCAGCATGCACTGCTAAGATACTGTGCCCTGCAAGGTAGGACCACAGTGGAGAACCAGGTTTGATTGCCAGTCCAGCTTAAAGGCGAGTCACACATGCACTGTGGTCCCTGCGACGTGAGAGACTGAGGCAGGAGGATCTGGAGCTCGAGGCCTGCCTGGGCAGCATAGCCAGGTCATGTCTGAAAGAGCAAGACGTGGAAGTACACACCCACCTGTGGTCCCAGCCCAGAGACTGAGGCAGGAGGATCTCAACACAGTGAGATTTCATTCTGAAAAAATAAATAAGTAAATAAAAGGGAATTAACAGTATAACTAGTGCAGAGTATTTATACATAAACATTATGGAGCCCCAGCCATAGTTCAGGCACTGTGCACAGACCTGGGAATTCAAAGAGAAATGTCCCTGCTGTCCCCCGAGACTGACCCCACGTGGCGCCAGAGTGGGATATGTGTGTGTACAATGCCAGGAACGTTCGGAGTATGGAGGACCCAAATAGCGATCCCCCTAGCCCAGAGGGAGCCACACTAGGCAAATGAACAAGGGGACTTGGCATGGTTGTCATCAGAGCAGAGTGTTTCTGGGTGTCCACAGAAAATAAGTGGTGCTGACCACATCCTAGTGACAAGCCTGGAAAGATTGTCATGATTCATATGAGATGTTTGGGAGCAGGAGTGACATGGATAGCTCTTGCTAGAGAAAAAGGGGTGGAGCCCCACGAGTGGATTGAGAGCCAGTGACATGTCCCAGCCTCCTCTGACTTCCGTTGCCAACCAAATGAATGAAAATGAAGTTGCAGGTTTCAGTGTGGGGTCATTTTACATAAGATGCCAAGGCCTGGGACCTGTCAGCATCCCTCACGTGTCGTCACTGCCAGAGTCATGCTGTCCTCTCCACAGGAGTAGAGGCTTCTTGAATGCGGATGGAGCACTCTCTCTCTCTCTCTCCACAGGAGTAGAGGCTTCTTGAGTGCGGATGGAGCACAGGGGCTATGGCTTCCCTTGGCTTTTGTGACTTGGAGTATCATGACTGCACTAGAGTTGGGTGTGGAGTGAAGGAGTGTGTCCCAGAGAGAGGCATTGGGTCTAGCACTTTGCCTTCCCCATTATTCCCACCTGGAGCCTCTAGGCATCAAAAGTAAGGTGGCCATGGCAGAAAAGAATGTTCTCAAAGGCAGAGGAGCTCGCTCATGTCAATGAGTAGATAGTGCCCTAAATTAAAACCCAAAAGACGGCATGCTTGGGGCAGTTCATGAGCTTTGAGGACTAGGTTAATAGGTATCCTGCGTTTTTATTTACTTTTGTGGGAAGTTCTTTTAAAAAAAAAGAAAAGAAAAAGTGATATTTTCCTATTTCTTCGATCCTCAGGGGAAACCAGTGTTGGATTGTCTTGAGTGTATGTTTCCGGAGTCTGTGCTCCTTCTGCAGCCAGGGCTGGGGTAGCTCCTCCAGAGGCTGACTCAGAGTCAGAGGGAGCAGATCCAGGGCTTTCACACAGTGAATGGGTAGGGGCAGTAGGCACGGCGTTGAGAGGAATTAGCCAAACCCACTGGGTACTGAGTGTATGATTGCGTTTCACATGTATAGCAGTGTATGAACAGGCGAAGCCCCTCATCTTCCAAAGTCAGGCAGCGATCTCCCTTGCACCTGGCAGGCATGGAGGCCTGGTGTCTGGGTGGAAGCATTGTTTTGCATGTGTGTTCCCTTCAATGAAAAGAAAACGGACAGTGTTACCACTCGGCTCTTACTAGCCTGGAGCACACAGCCTGGCACGGTGTCTCAAGTAACCACAAGGGAGCTCAGTGAATGTGGGTCAGCCTCACAGGCGAGTAAAGGAGTAGATCTCCCACAGCTCCAATCCCAGCCTCGGCAACTTGAAAAAAACACTGGGTATGTACGTGTGCATGTCCCAAATCCTGTCAGGATGGAGAAATGGAGAAGGGATTGAGGTGTGACCATGTCCCATTGGGGAGAGAGCTCGCTCTCGCTCTCTCTCTCTCTCTCTCTTTCTCCCCACATTTCTCTCAGTCCAGTGTATGTGCTTTCTGGTAATGAAAAAAAAAATGCTACCAGATGTGGATGTTAAATTTATTTTTTCACTACTCACCATTTCTGTCAAGGCCTTTTCAGACATGCCCTGGGTTATCTCATCAAAGGGTCATTGATCTCACAGAAATGAGTACTGAGCCGATGGCAAGGGCCTCCTCCATGAGTAACTTCTGAGGCCTGGTGACTCCAGGTGAGAGGAAATGAGTAAGTCCAGTCCCAGCCTCCCACTGACTGCTGTGTCAGCTCAGGCAACTTACTTAACCTGTCTGGCCTCTGTCTCCTTGTTGGAAATTGGGGGTGCCGTGGAGAGTAAAAGAATCAAGGGCATGTCAGGACATAAGCACAAGGGCTTAGTACAGGCCGCTTCCACCCAAAAACAAGCTACCGCTGTACGTACCGTTTTCCTTAGTCAGATGCTGTTCATTGCAAGACAGTATTCATTGTAATTAAAGGCTTTCGAGGAGAAAAAGTGAGACGTCCAAGGTGGAAGAGGTGCCTTTTGCTGTGAGACGTGGTGGCCATAACAGTAACATGACTCGGTGCCCTGGTTTTCCGGGCTCTGGCATTTGAATCATGCGCTGCCTCCAGTCCTCAAGGAGAGCCTTCAGCAGATGACTGAATTGGAGATATGTTGTGGTGGGTGTAAATTAAAGAGGAATATTAGGACCAGCCTATGGCCTGGTAGTTAAGGCAACTGGATCCCACATGGCTGAAGTGCAGTTCGAGACCTAGACCCAGTGAGTTGAGAAACACAGAGGGGCGTGTGTACACGTGTGCATGCTGAAAACTCTGAAAGAAGGGAGAGATAGAAAAGGGATTACAGTCTGACCATTCCCCAAGAGGGGGTGCTTTTCCATTTCCCTTCTCTCTCTGTCTCTCAGGTAAGTACACATACCCTCTGGCTATGAACAAAAAGTCAAATATTTCACCATGCACTCTGCTATGGTTTGGGAAACAGTTTGTCCCCAAAAGTTCACGTGTCGGAAGCTTGGCCTTTCTGCGTAATGGCATCAGGAGGCAGTAAGACCTTGAAGAAATGAGGCCTGGTGCCTGCTCACTAGATCAGGAGGCACCACTGGGATGAATGGGTTAATGCTGTGTCTCACAAAGGGAGTGAGTGCCTACTCTACTGAGGAGTCGCTCCCACGATAGCTACTCGTGAAAGTGTGAGCTGCCTGCAGGTCTGCACACATCTGCTGACCTCGCTTCTATCAGCTGGTGGTGATGCAGCTCCAGATGGGGGCCCCAGGCTCTTGGACTTGCTAGCCATCAGAATCATGAGCCAAGTAGACTTCTGAGTCTTTATAAATCACCCAGTCGCAGGTATTGGGTTGTTGGGAAAGTCATGACACAATTTTGCATAGAAAACCATAGAAAAATACTCATGACTTTTCAATAACACATTAATAGACTAATGGACTATGACACATTCTGACTTTATTTTCTTTCCTTTTTTTGGGAAAGGTTTTTTTTTTTTTTTTTTTTTTTTTTTTTTTTTTTTTTTTTTTTTTTTTT